TGCACTGGTGGGTGACGCGGAAAGTTTTTACAGTGTCCCTTATTTTTCTTTTTTGAGAGTTAAGAGCCAATGATCACACAACAGATGGTTTATGGAGGTTTAACTAAGTTGACAAACTGCATATGTTATACTCTCTCTGTTTTTAGTATCATGAAACAATCACAGAAGCTTTGGATGCTGTGCAAGATGATGACATCATAATTGTACACAGTGGTGTGTATGATGAACAGCTGTCAATCAGCAAGCCTGTTGCAATCATTGGAGCAGGTACACCACAATGTTACTAAATTATTTCTAGAACCTTAGTAAATGTTTCATATTTCCCTTAAGTGGTCTCTAAATTAATCTTTAACTTGCAATGAAAGTGTGTCATTAATTAGAGTGTCATCTCCGGTGGTCTCTACGTTGATCTTTAACTTGCAATGAAAAGTCTGTCATCAGTTAGAGCTGCATTTTAATTCATCATTTGAACTTCCCTCTGACTTGCTAATCCAAAACTGTTCCCTCTGATTACTTTTAGAGGGAATTTGCAGGCAGCCACTGTCAATGTAGGGAAAGGAAACATACGTCTTGTGGGTTTCACACTGCCCTCCTCCCCTCCTCCCCTCCTCCCCTCCTCCCCCCCCTTAGCTCCCCAGTTTGCATATAAGGGGCCTCTCTAGACTAAGTGTGTGTCTTTCAACATCAACGATAAGGGATTTTCATGACAACTGTCACTACTTGCTCCCCCCTTTCCATTTTGTTGTTTGATTCTTTTTCCATTTTTCCTCACTGAGCTCATCCAAACCTGCGTGTGACATCTTTAAGACCCAGGGTGTATAACTTGGATTTTGAAGGAAGGCATGAAGTGTCTTCCAAGGCAAGGTTCTGAATTTGGATCATGCTTGTCATGATACATTTATGATAAATAACTGTCTTTCATGTCCACATCCTAAGACAGACACTTGACATCATGAAAAGTTAAGTTTCAGTTAAAATTTTAACCAAAAATGAGCAACTTGCTCACAGGATGGCCTCTTTTTTTATCTACAGCTAAGAGCGAAGATGGTCTTGTCGTCATTCAATGTGACTCTTCAACAGTTGTCAGTTTCAGTGCTGGTTCAGGCAATCCCTTAGGGCATGTCACCTTGAAGGTATGTACAGAAAACTGCTTCAAGGGGTAATGTCAACACAACAGGGAACCTTAAGGAAAAATCGTCCAACGCGCGCTACTTTTAAAGAAACCATGTAAAGCTTTTTAAGTAAAGATTGCGGAAGTAACACAATTTTTCAAAGTTTTGATTTTGATAAAATCAAAGGCGCGAGCCTTTAAACTCAATTCTTTTGAGCGTTTATATCTGACGAACACTCTGGCCAATTTTCATGAAAATCCATCAAATCTACACCCCTTGGTGATTCGTGTAAGTAGAGGTAACTCGCGTAAAAAGAAACCGGGGGGCTGCTAAGATATTTACAGTTTTGGCCCCTCATTTAAGCGCGGTCATGCCGCCGACCAATGAAGCACAACGTTGAACCCCCTGGCAAGTCTCGTGAAAAAGAACTCCTTTGAAATTCGCGGGAAAGGTCATTTTTCGAAACTGGGAACACGAATTAAAATGAAATCCAAAATTCATCAAAAAAAGCAGAAGGAAAAGTGCGCAAAGCAAGCTAGGGAAAAAGAAAAACGCAACTTGGATTTATTCGACCTGGGCTCTCTCGCGACTTTTCTCTTCTTGGCCGTTTGATAAAGACTCTTATTTCCTGACGTTTTGCGAAATATGCAACAAATTCCCTTTTGTTGTGCAGTGCAAGACGCGATGTTAACAAAATATGCAAATCGAGATCCCAGACGAAAGCCCGCGAAAAAAGGTCTTTTAGCCGTATCTCGCGTTCTTTATAAGATTTTACATTTTTTTGGCAAATCAAACTAAACTAGTTTATCAAACTGAATAGCAAAGTAACAATTTTGAACATTTTGACCAGATTTTGTCGATAGTAACCTAAAAAAAACTAGACCCTGTGAGCAGGGTAACTGAGATACCTGGATGGTACTGGATCCTTGGAATCAAGTGTAGTGAAACTACGGGTGTCGGACTAGTATACTGAAATAGTGCGCTCAAGTCTGGCCAAGGGCATACACCTATTTCAAAAAATAAGCATGCTATGCATGCAAGAGTTACTTTTGAGTGATGTCTACATTCTTACAAAAGGAGAGAAGAATATTAATGTGGGAAAGAACGAAAATGTCGAATTACCTCACTCACAGGTATTTTGTGGTAGATTATGTGTGTTTTGCGATTAAATTATAACCAAAAATAAACTGTATTGGTGCCACGGATACCTGTTACTACAAAATGCAGACTAAGAATCTGAAGAGTTTTTACGTCTGGTATTTAATAATATGTCATCTTACAGCTTGCCGAGCGTCACGCAATCGCTTTTCTGCGATCCGCCTTCACGATTATTTGCACTATTGTGGAATATTCCTGGCCCATTTCTTGATGAAAATCGATCGCAATGTTATTTCAAGCCTTCAATATAGTCTTCTTACTTTGTACGCGAGTTGGTTGGTGTAAGTCTGTACAGATTTTACCAACGTAATTAAAGTAGATGACGTGAATACCAGTGATGGTAAAGCAAGCTTAATACGGCAGAAATCGCCAGAAAATACAACGGATACACAGGGTATGAGTAAGTTTTATTGATTTTACGAGAAAAATGTTCATATTTCGAAACATGTATCGTTGTAAATCGGCCATACTTCGTTCCCTATACTATTCCTTATGACGAGCAGTTCCTCTCGTAACTTAACACCGAGTCACACAACGCGTGACGCGTTCATCTTTTTCTCGAGACGTGAGCTTGGGCTGCCTGTGACGAGACAATTGCGTAAACAATATTTAACATAATAACATTATACACAAAAAACACGGGGTTTTGGATCACGTATTTATTAGAAAAGAATATCCAATGAATATATACAATGAAAACAAAGATAAGAATCACCTTTCTGATGGTGAAATTAATACCATTCGTACTGTTATCGTAGCTACGTTCCTTGCCATCAAGTGAATCCAACATGTCGTCTTTCTTCACAAGCAGTTTGCATCCATTATAGTTATGTTCTTCAATCTCACGGTAGTAGTGTTGTTCAATAGATTGCACAGAGTATATGCAGTTTGGTTTCAGATTTCATATTTTGCTTTTTACAACAAGTGAACGTTTTTCAACTAAGACATTGGCATACTTAGCGTACAAGGCATTCAAGGCTTTCATGCGTTCGCGACTCAATCCGTTCCAAAATTACCGCTCAATGACATCTTTCAGTGTGGATTAGCCGCGATTAATACGACTTGTATATGCGTCTGTAAGTATTTTTCGCGTTTGCGCCATAAAGCTCCAGGAAATCGCAATCCGAATACGTTGAAATACAAAACAACTGACCAAAGAGTTTTATAAGCAAAATCTCGTGATTCGTCATGTGACCCGGCCCTGTCTGTGCATAACAACGTCAATCATCATCAAGATAACACAGTTAGTTGTCATGGTGTTGAGGGATAACACGCGTGATCAGCATGTGAACACCTCATTGAATCACAGTTAGTTGTCATGGTGTTGAGGGCCCAATGACCTCTGGGTACTATTGCGCAATTTTTCCATTTTGTGGCGGAGGAAAAAAAAAAAAAAAAAAAAAACGACAAAAAAACAAAGGCATTTTATGACTGGGCTACCACAGGTATCCCAGTAATTAGCACAAAAATTAATAGCACTGCATTACGCGTATTTCTTTACCCGCTTAAGACTAGTCGGGAGAGGTTTCTGGGGGTCTGGCTCTAAGAATGATCAGTGCAAGACGGGGGTCTGACACTAAGAATGATCAGTGCCAGACCCCTTGCAGACCTCTCGCTGTTTCTTGGAAAACTTACCCCCCTTTTTTCATTTCGATGGACTTCCTTGTTCGCAGAATTGCCCAAACGGTGAATCTGAGGTGATCAGATCAGGATGTGTGGAGGTTGTTGATGACTGTGGTCCTACAATCTACAACTGCAAGCTCAATAGCCTTGCTAGTGGTAAGAGAGAGGCACTAGACGTCATATTTATCATTTTTGGTTTTTTTAAAGTTCAAACAAACTTGTAGTAATGTCAGTAATGCGTGGGAGTCAGTGGTCGGTTGATTTTATTTTTGCTCATAGCTGGTGCCACAGCTTATGTACATGGAAGAGGAGCCAGACCCACTTTGTCAAAATGTTTTATCTCAGACTCTGAAAATGTTGGCATTTTCATCACAGATGATGCGCAGGTGAGAAATAATCCACAATTTACAGCAAATTCTTGAACCCCTTTCCTTGCTGAAAACTTATGGGGCCAGTTATTCACCCCGTCCCGTGGTCTAACCCAAGCCGCGGTTTTACGTAAGCAGTGGGCCTCAGGTATTCTCTATAGGGGGGTTGATTAAATTAACTAAATGTCCTTCCACTATTATCTTTCGGCTCCCTTTTGGCTAAATTGAAGATAGCTAAGAACACGGTTTTATTAAACAACGTCCGAACTTTGTTTGAATAACTAGGCCATGTAGTTTACATAAGTGTGGGTCATCAAAAGACATGAAATTTCGTACCAAAGATTTTTCGTTTTACAGCAGAAAATGAATTGACAAAATCATTCATGACTTACCCGTTACGATATCGTATTGGAGACCCCCACTAAAACATTTTGCCGAGTTTCCAGACAGTTTGCTTGGTCTTCATCAATATTACTGAGTGGAAAAGACCATGTAAGAGTAGGCACCATGACCTATCTGCAATGACCCAGCCAAGCTGAGAACTCCAACAAAAATTGAAGTACTTGTATTTAAAGCTTTTATTAAAGAATCTAGGGTTGCTCCTGGAGGCGCCTCAAGCAATTCTTAACCTTCGGCCCTTTTAAAAGGCCGCAGCTTGTCACACTACAGACCAATAAAATAATTCTTGTAATTGTAGGGCTACTATGAAGGAAACGATGTTTACAACAACCGTATAGCTGGGTTTGAGATTCGGTCTCACGCCAATCCAACAGTCGTGGGATGTAAAATACACCACGGTATGACGGGTGGCATATACTCTCATGACGATGTAAGTACACTTTGTTTCATTTATATTGCAAATATATTTGTGTGTTTTAAAAACTTAATGGTGTATCTTTAACTAACAGGCACGTGGTGAATTCCTGGAAAATAAGATATATTCTAACACATACGCTGGAGTTTGGATCACGTCACAGAGCAATCCAACCATAAAGTAAGAAAGATTTTCGTGTTCTTCTGTTTATTAAATTGCAAAATTTCTTCATGAGTCTCCTTGTTCGAAATCTCTCACGTCTTTTGGATTAAATCAAAAACTTCTCACGCAAAACTTGTCAATATATAATGCCGGGGAAAATTTGTCAAAAAGGAGGTGCGTACTCATCCTGAGTACACCTTGTAGAAAGTGCCTTCTGCACTTGGCGTGGCCTGCGAGAAGGTCCTCGTAATAGCGCTGCAGACCGCGCGTTTCTCCGCTCGCGGGAACATGTGAGACGAATATCGGTGAGGTTTGGCGGAGGTCTGGCACTAATGATGAACATTTTCAGTCCTAGACCCTTGGCAGACATCTAGTTGAGTTGCATTGCTCAAGGCCTCATAGACTATCCCACGAGTGAAGAAACACCCGTCCCGAAGTGCTTATGACGAGCGCATGCTCACAGGCTGCATTTGGCATTACTTCAATTTCTTGAAAAGCAACTATTTAATCTGTGATTTTGCTATTTTTTGCAAACTCTGCACAAACTCCGGCATGGTTAGTTCTTCGTTCTACCGTCTGAGAGGTTTACCATTTCGCTTCTAGCTTCTCCATGACAAGATTACGGTTCATTTTCAGCTTAAGTGCGGAGTAAACTTGCTAACTCCTTTAATTTATTGTATTTTAGAAACAACGAGATCTACGATGGACAACAAGGAGGTGAGCATCACTTTTTGTATCGGAATTGCTTTGTTGTTGTCGTTACTGCTTTTTTTCCGTGATCGCGCTCATCAATACACCATGAAATTGACATGATTAAGAACATTGCGAAACTCGATATAAATGCACTGAAAACATGTAAATAAAAGTTAATCACCATCATGTTTCTTTAGCGCCATTGTTGTGAACTGGGAACTTAATCAAGATTTCTCTTTAAATTCAAGCTACCTTTATTTGACTTGATTGATAATCTTACGAAGGCATTATGGTCTCGTTTGTCTCTTGTAGGAGTTTATGTATTCGGCGAAGGAAAAGGATTGATTGAAGGAAATAACATTCATGGTTTGTATTAATTTTGTCTCTTAGTCCTTACTTCAAGTTTGTCAAACAGATTGTTCAAGTAATCCTTTGTGCCAAGGTTTTCTCGATTGAGTACAACAAAAGCAAAATTAACCACGACAGTCTATTGGACCTGAAAGAAAACATGGATCAATGTCAGTATCCGAGCAACTGCATACCTACCCCACCCCTAACCCAACAGTAACCCTAACTTGTTATCAGTTGACTGTTTTTGGGTTAGGGGAGGGGTAAGTGTGCTATCAGGTATTAACATATATCCCGAAACAAACTCAACTTACCTGAAGTGCGTGATAACGCGAGTGATCGAGTCGTGATTTTGCGTCTCATTAGCTGAGGATGGCGTGAGTTTTAATTGAGGTTGTCAGTAATTTTCGAGAATCCGGTGACAGAAGCAAAAATTCAACTTTTTTTTGTATTTGCTCCAAAAGACCCTTTTGGTGAATCGTTTTCAAAAATAATATTCAAAAGTTCCAGCGAGTTTTTATTTTGGAAAAAAAATACGAAAGTTCGAAATCGGCCTAAACTTACCCGATTTGCATAATTTCTATTGGGCTTTTAGTGCATTTTCACAACGCTCGTACGAGACAATGAAAAATTATCTTGGATTTATTTTTTCATAAGTTGTTTTTCATCCATTGGAGTAGCTTTGCAACTATATTTCATCTCCAACTGAACTTTCTTTCGTTTGTAACCACCCGCGTAAAGTACACTATCTTTTCTATTCCGTTTGTACGCTGAATTTGACTATAATTCAGACGACCATAACATCGAGGGTATACAAATGTACATAAAATAAAAGAGCTCTTTTCCACGAGAAATTCTTCGTGTTTATCATATAAAAATATTATTTTTGGCCCGTGAAAAGCGAGCGCGCCAGACCAAAATATAGAGCGTGCATTTTCACGGAGTTAGGCCATTAATTGCTGTACTCCTACTGCAAATCGCACGCTATTGGGACAAAACTCGACGTGTTTGGTCTCTACTTCAGTTTTGATTCATTTAAATATATCAATTTTAACTTAAAAATTAACCTACCTTCATTGTTAAGTGAACAAACCACCGTTTCAGGTAAAGTTTTTGAATTGATTTTTCTCGAGTGCTAAATAAACAAATCGCTGTTTACAAAGATACCAGCTCTGTCGACGTGTTTTAGCTGAAATTGGCCTGTCGCATATATTGTTCTTTAATTTACAATCTATCCCACTGGCATTACTTTAGAGTAAATTACATGTAACTATAAATGTTGTTGTAAATACGTGAGCGTGATTTAGATAAAATCTTCGCACACATAAAATATTCGAAACATGTAGTTGTCCCATGAAAATACTCGCTTAATTGTGCACGAACCTTGTGTGTACATTCGGTGTTTTGCTCGGTTGCTTTTATAGATTTCTACCACTGTCACTGTGATTAAAATAGTATGTTTGTGTAGTTCACGTGTTTAGATACATTTTCAAATCAACTGTAGGTTGGAATTCTGTTGGTAAAAATTGTCGAAGAAATCCGAGAAAAATGGCATGTAGCACCGGGCAGTCGTGCTACATTCCATCTCACCGATTTCAACGAAACTTTGCCAGGTTAAAGGATCTACCCCAAAACTAAAAAATACAAACTGGTTTCTGTTTTGGTTTTTTCCGGGGGAATATAGACCACCACCCCCCCCCCCGGTTTTTCTTGATCCTTAGTTAATGTCCACCTCAAGTATGACGGCTTGTCAATCAACAGAGGCAAATAAACGACTGAGTTTTTAGACTTTTCGATTCATCCAAATATTTGACAACTTTGAAAAGTGAGATGCAAAGATCTTTTTTTTTTTTTTTTAGCTTAATAGCAGCTGTACCCTCCCTGCAATCTTCGTCTAAATTTGCAAGGTCACTCCTTATCTTCAGCCTTGTTAGAGGCGGTTTGCCTTACTAGTTTCCTCCCTGTCCAGCTCATGTCAAGGAGATAATTCTTTGCTTTCTGAGAAAAGGTGGCTGGTTTTTGTGTTTTCCTAAGAGCCCATGCAAAGTCCATTTGGCTAGTTAGGGATGTTTCGTCAGAAGTTTACCTGAGGTCCGACCTTGAACGTAGCCACCCCCTTTAAAATGGCAAGCCGGTCTTCGTCCATTTTCTCTTGATCTTATCATAGGCGGATTTTTTTGTCAGCTTCACTGTGTTTGCCTTTGTTAGGGTGCTTTTGGATGGCAGCCAATGACTGAAACGTCTTGATACATCCTTCCTCTTAGCAAGAATATCTCGCTTTTTTGTTCTGTCTGTGACGGATTGGATATAGTTCTCGCGATGGCCCGCGTTCAGGGATCTGTGCACGTTGCTGATAACCACCCACTTCTACGATTAGTTTGCTGAAGGTTTCTAATGTAATGAGCCTATTGAGACCCTGAGGTGCTCCAAACTGTGCCAGTTAGTCTGCGCTATAAACTTATCGCAGTTTTAAAGTCAGAGGGAGGATCGCCCACCTCTATTTATGTGAGCGTCTCTACAGTACCTGCGTATCCCTAACAATCATATGATATAAAGTTCATTTCAGTCACAAATCATTAGTTAGGAAAACTGATGTTCAGATAAGCGCTCTTCTTGCCCTTCTTCCTTATTCATTGCTGACTCTAGGATAGCAGTTACAGTACGCGTTCTATTAGGTTTACAGTCACCTTGCCACTAGGAAGACTCGCCACCAGCTTTGATTTCTTCTGCCATCTTCAGATTCACCTCTCTCTCAACTTTACGTCTCTGATTTTTATGACGAGGATACTGGCATTTACAAACCCGAAGGTCTGAATCTCATACCAAGTTGTGCACGATATTTGAGGCATATCGTGAAATCGCGGCCTTCGTAATCTCCAAATAAGCCAATACGCGCTAGAATAAGCTTCTTCTCGGACGAAACGCATGTTTGGGATATATTGGCGCCTCTCAAATGTATTTTTTTTATGCTGCACACCCACGAGTTTAGAGGTGTGAGGTGTTGCCGTCCCTGGCCAGCGCGAGAATTGAGAGCTTTCTAGACACTCGATTACTTATATGGCATCACTATGAAGACGTAATACAACTGATACACCTACACTACATAGGATTAACAATGTCTGTTGCGCTGTTGCGAGAGGGAGGAAAATATTACCGGCAGTGTGAATTCTTTAAGAGTTTCAGAGACTTTTCAGAGATGTCTGTTTTCGGCTGTCACAAAAAATTGACCCGCTCTTAAATTTACTAGGGAAAATGAACTTACAAACTCCTTACAAACAATTTTGCTTTTTCCTCGGGCTGTTATAAAACGGGTCATAAATTGACCGGTGAATAAAATATTTTTAAATATCGTTCAGAATTTGCCTTTTTTTGCTTGCAAATCAAGGGTTGACAAAGTTTATAAACATTTGACAATAATTTCATGGGGTTCACCTCGATAATTTTCGTCGGCCAGAGTTAAGACGCACCAAGCTAAGTGACATCGCCCTCCAGTAAAATAATTTTCTAAAGAATAAATGTGGCGAGCGTGGGGAAACGCACATTTTTTTTCATTATTGTGATCAAAGCCCAATGATGTACCTAAATTGGTACTTACGGTATCAAACCATTGATTATGAAAGGATGAGCTTAATTTTTCTGTCGAGTTCCACGTGACTTCACATTAAAAGCGTTTTTGAAACAAACTAGTCAGCATCACCGCACGAACTGAGAAAGTAAAAACTTGTATTTATCTCCCACGCGTTTCGTCTGACAATAGTAGAGTTCATCAAGGAGTTTTACAAGTAGGGTAAATAAGCTTGCTCCTATACAAATAGTAAATAAGTTGTCTCTTTACTATTGAAGCCAGTGGATATAATTCGCCAGGTGCGCCTACGGTGTTATACATGCGTGACATTTTTCGGACGCGACATGTACGAGTACGTAATCTGTTTGAGGGTCACAGATTAAGTGTAAATATTTGACCCCTTGACATAACGTAATGTCTCTAGTTTACAGAGGTCTTAGAAAGCTTCATTACTTGGATTTGCCTTCTGCGCGTAGAAGGCTACAAGCGAATTTCTCGGGTGTAATTGCTTTTGATTTCTCAACTGATGTTGTCGCAAACACAGCTTTTGGGAGTCACGAAACAAAAAAACTTATCGGGACACAGTTTCATGTACTAATGGAAGTAAATGGCAAATAAAAACATATTATCTTGAGAAATAAAGTTATAAATAACAGGGGTTCTTTGAAACAAATAGTGATAGAAAAGGTTTCAGTTCTGGTCAATATTGACTTTTCATAGCCTACTTCCAAATCTGAGGGAACGCGCCAAGGGAATAAAAAAAAAACATACATGTGTGATAATGCAAGGAGGAGAATAAAAATGCAAATAAAGGAAAAGGAGAAAACGTAGAAACCAGTGTTGCAGCGCGCAGATATCTTTTGAGCCAGACCTACACACTTATGCCCGACACCACGCAAAGAAACTCGAAAGAGTGCTGTATATAAACTCGCTCGCACGTGCACGCAGGAAAGGCCATGACAATCAGCGAAAATGGAAAATGCAGATAATATTTGCAGTCAAAAAACAGGCAAACAAGATGACAGAAGGATAAAGAACTTTCTGGAAGTGTCTTCTTAAAAAAAAAGAAAAAAAGAAAAACAATTTTTACTTATCATGAAAGGTCAAGCAGTCACGCTACAAATACTATTTCTACGTGGAATTTCTTGATGGTGGAAAGTGGAAAAACCATTTTCCAGTCTTATTTTCTGGAAACATGGCGCAGTTAATGAATTTAATGGGGCTATTGATATTTCCTATCAAATAAGGGGGCAGAGTTTCCCGTCATCCGCGTTCTGGAAAAGCCGAAGTTGTTACACTCGGGAACTTGTACGTCAACAAGCACGCGACATGTGAATTTAAAATCTCCTCCTGTTACAGTTTCCTTATTGTGAAATGTGCGATAATGATAATAAACAATCAAGTTGTAGACTAATGAATGTTTTGGTTTTGTACAAGTGCCCTATTTCCTGATTTTAGCAAACGCTACGATTTTCCCATCGATTTTTCAATTAAAAACGCGTCGACAGAGCTGGTATCTTTGTAAACAGCGATTTGTTTATTTAGCACTCGAGAAAAATCAACTCAAAAACTTTACCTGAAACGGTGGTTTGTTCACTTACAATGAAGGTAGGTTAATTTTTAAGTTAAAAAGTTGATATATTTAAATGAATCAAAACTGAAGGAGAGACCAAACACGTCGAGTTTTGCCCCAATAGCGTGCGATTTGCAGTAGGAGTACAGCAAGAAAATGGCCTAACTCCGTGAAAATGCACGCTGTATATTTTGGTCTGGCGCGCTCGCTTTTCACGGGCCAAAAATATGGTCGTCTGAAATATAGCAAAATTCAGCGTACAAACGGAATAGAAAAGATAGTGTACTTTACGCGGGTGGTTACAAACGAAAGAAAGTTCAGTTGGAGATGAAATATAGTTGCAAAGCTACTCCAAGGGATGAAAAACAACTTATGAAAAAATAAATTCAAGATAATTTTTCGTTGTCTTGTACGAGCGTTGTGAAAATGCACTAAAAGCCCAATAGAAATTATCCAAAGTAGGTACGTTTTTGCCAATTTCGAACTTTCGTATTTTTTCCAAAATAAAAACTCGCTGGAACTTTTGAATATTATTTTTGAAAACGATTCACCAAAAGGGTCTTTTGGAGCAAATAAAAAAAAAGTTGAATTTTTGCTTCTGTCGCCGGATTCTCGAAAATTACTGACAACCTCTCTTAACGACCAATCACAGCGCGCAGCAAAGGGAAACTAGTGCAGTTTTGTAAAACTCTTGACACTCAATCCAAAGTTGTTCTTCAGGTAACTCACTGGCATGACTGATAGATACTACAACAATTCATATGACGGATTTTGTGAAACTTCTTTGGTAACTTATCAAGATGTTCTTTGGTTTTTCCCCGTTCAGACAATGCACTGGCCGGAATCCAGATCAGAACTAAGAGTAATCCTATTGTTCGTTGCAACAGAATACACAGCGGACTTCACGAGGGAATTTATGAGGTAAGTATTTACAAAAGGCCAGTGCAGGAAACTATTGATCTTGTATTACATGATGAGCTGAATTGTACTCACAGAAGATGTCAAGATGTGATGAGAACGTCCGTGGTACTCTCGGCTGCGTCTCGTGTGCGACATTTTTGTTTTTATTACAAATTGTCGTCATCTGTGAGTTATGTTCTCAAAGAACTAATCAAAAATCATTCATAATTCTACGTTTGTGCCCTGTTCCGCGACTTTGTCTTTGGCAATCCGTGTTAATCTTCTCCATCCTTTGTTACACTTGTTCTTCTTGTTCTAGTATTGCCTTCTTCGGGTTTTTTTTAATACCCAAACAGATATTTTGTATCGCTGCGTAGCCCTATCAAAATAACTCAACAAAGATCCCTCTTCACCCAGGATGTGCACACTTGCATTTCTGAACCACGAACAAAAAATGGTATTTTCTCCTTTTGTGTGCCGCTACGACAAAAACAGCGATTTTGGATCAGATTTACCGGCTTCTCTTACGATGAATGTCGTCGATTTTATTCTCAGCACGAGGAAGGCACGGGACTCATAGAGGACAACGAAATCAACAATAACACCCTGGTTGGTGTGTGGATAACCACAGGTATAAACAATTAAACTGGAAAAGTACGCTGGGGGAGGACGGTGCTACAAATTTTTTTTTGCGGGTGTGGGGGTGGTTACACCTGCGTCTTGCTGACTTAATAAAATAGGTCATGGAAGAGTTTAGTTCGGAATACCTAATTTTATCCTATAACTTGGTGCAGACTGGTGAATTTCAACTGGAAAGTATTCCTAAAACACTGCAATGAAAATAATGCCTGCATGGAAACCATCTAAAGTCTCCATCACTGATGTTCTTCTTTGCTTTCCCTTGCGTATAGGAAGCACACCCACGCTCAGAAACAACAGGATCCACAGTGGAAAACAGGTAGAACTCGTCCACATTAGCTACGTACATTAACAGATTATAGTTTCCCGATGGTAATGCCATTAAATGTTTAAAAGACAACTTCATTAAAAATTGTTATTGTTTAGGATTTGCTTAATCTTGCTCTGAACAATTGAAATCAACATAAATAAGAGTTCTTTTCGAATTTTTAAATTAGATGAAACTGATATTGAATCTAAATGAATAGAAAGAATACTTGTCTTGATGAACTCCCTTGGGAGCTTATGCACTCTCTCAATGTTTTAGCTTGCAGCTGAGCGTACCTAAACTGGACATAACAAGCAAACAATTCTGTGTAACGCTAACACTCTGCACCTTAAATAACCAAAGGACACGAAGAGACAAAATTCAGTCATAACCGTCAGAAATTGACGCACATCCTAGGACTGGGGACAAACAACTGCACTTGAGGGTAAAGCACAAAGCTAAATCTAGTTTAACCGGTTTGGTCGGTTTGAAATTGTAAAAAACACGTCCCAATTTTTAAACTAAGTAAACATAAAAAAGTGCAACGTAATTACTAAATGAAAGGCTTATCTTAAATTAAAAAAGTATCAAATTAACTTGCCTACATTATCCTCTAAACTAATTTTATTTCTATTCGTTTATCAAACATGTATCGTTTGACTGAACTAAACTGCTCCTTTGAAGTAGGTTGGGGTACCTTACCTTAAAGTAAAGATGAGCACATACTTGTTTGCAAAATCAAAATAAAACTATGCGAGTGTGGACGCTGACAAAACTGCGAGCAACCCAAACTATTGTTGCCTTTTTGCGTGTTGTGAAGTATATAGGCTACGATTCTCCATATATTAGTAAAGCGTCAAAACGTTATGGAAGGAAACCTTAGGCGAGTTTGTTAATGAAGGAGCATGCAGTGAGACAGCTTACATGGCTCTTCAGTGGGGAGGAACGGCAGAAACGGAGAAATGTGAGGAGACAGGGATTCTCCTCCTTCCCCCCCTCTGTTCCTCAGTTATTTGTCCCACTCATACTTGGGAGCTTGACTTCGGGCAAAGCTCAATGAAGCAAGCTTCAAACGGCCTCACATGCCTGTGTGGCGCTTAAGTCAACTGAGCCTTTAGACCAACTGCGAGATAAACCAGCTCTCACTTCGAACGAGCTTTCTATTTTACTAACTTCGTGTACTTATCATGAAATGTCTTGTGTACTTTCCTTGCTGTAGATCAATCCCTGTATCAGAAGAAATAAGATTTGGGGAGGACAGAATGGTGGCGTTCTGACCTACAACGGAGGTAGAGTATTTAAAAAAGTAACACACTATGCCTTGGCTCTACGCAATTCATATCGCCGTCCTCTATTTGTTTATTTATTACGCCTTAAATCAGAAACAAACCAAGAAAGAAAACTACTTCGCTTCAGTCGTTTGATTTCTTTCTTTATCCAAGGTCTTGGTCCGGAACGTGCCGTGTAGAGTTAGGGATTCATTGGGGCTGGAATTGTGTACTCTTAAACCCTTTCGACATACCACGGCTAATTTAACCTTTTATATCTTAATTATTTCTCCCTCTTATGAGCAACACATTTCTTTGTAAATTTAGTGGTAGAAATGAAACTTTCAAGCTGCTCCGTTTTTCTATTCTCCTATCTTTGTGCTGGACAATATGTTGTTCCAAGGACAAGTTAGTTTCGAGTCACTCCAGGGAAATGAACGGGTCAATCATTGTTGAAGAGAATACCTGACCTGGGGACCGTTTCTCAAAAGTCCCGATAACTTAACATCCCCGGAGCCATATTCTAAAATCAAAAGTTATTGAAATGGGAAGCAGGCTCTGGCAACCTGACCAGTCCATTTTGTTTCTTTGGCTGCTCGTTTTCTTGGTATGGTTATTACTGCCTAAGTAGTGCACATTACTGCGAGGATCACTTTCATTCACGTCTTTATCCGCAGTTCAAATATATGACTTTCATATATTCTTAACCGTTTATTTTTTCATCACTTCACGGGTTTATTTAGAACCAACATCATGACCAGCGCCCAGTTGGCTTGTTAGCTCAGTTGGTAGAGCGCTGCACCGGTATCGCAGAGGTCATGGGTTCAAATCCCGTACAGGCCTGAATTTTTTCAGGCCTTATTTTCACTACTGCCTAAGTAGTGCACATTATTGCGAGGATCACTTTCATTCACGACTTTATCCGCAGTTCAAATATATGACTTTCATATATTCTTAACCAGTATTAAGTAGTGTTAAGACGTGCATTAAATGTTGATTGCCGAACTCTCTTTTCTTTTCTGACTCGCGCTTTCTTTTCAATGAGAGTTTAACTGCAAAGGCTCTTTGAAAATTGCAGGAATACATATCCTTGATCTGTATTGACATTTTTCAATCAAACATGTGGTGTTGGCCAAAGCAACCTTTTTTCCGAGTTGGTTTTATCGTCCGGCACACCAATTAAAGCATTCCGATATCACTCAGTTTGATTGAAAAATGTCAAAACATATCAAGGATATCAGTTTTCTTACCATGGCGTCCAGGGCACACACAAAATTCAACTTCTCACGTACTCCTCCAATGTTCAAAAAGCCTTTAAAGTCGAACTCTCGTTGGAAAGTAAGCGTGAGTCAGAGAAAGAAAAGAGAGCTCGACAATCAACATTTAATGCACGTCATAACACTACTTAATATTACAAACATATTCAGGCCCACAAACGCGGGTAAACCGGGAGGCCGGCAACCGTGTTAGAATTCAGTCTCGTTGCTATTTTAATTGATGCTTTCATGAATGACAACGAATAAATGCAATATCGGCAGGGAAAAAAAGGAGAAACTTACCGAATTGGCTCTGCTTTACGGCAAAGCGAAGTGAAGACTATTCAATGCAGTAACTACGCCATGTGATGGTTTCGCGCCAGTCTTCTCATTCGATGACGTCATGCCTCCAGCAGATCGCTGTTCCATTTCCGGTTTGTATTTTTGGTGGTTTCGGCGAGATAGCCTTGGCGGCCGTCACCACCAAAAATACAAGGATGTCAAATAGATCAGCACATACAAAGATGGCTTAAGGATCAGCTCCAGAAAAGTATAGCTAATAAAGGAATGGCATGACCTTCACGTCACGCCACAAGCAAGCTCGACGATTCGCCACAACATCGAAATATTTCAAGTAATACAAAGCAATGTAATGTTCAGATGGAGCGTCTGATATTCTGTAAAGCTATTCGACCTAACGCTACATTATTTGTGTGTATGCTGTACTATTCGACATTACGCTAAGCCATTTGACGCAACTCTACACCATTTGTGTGTACGCTGTACCATTCGACATTACGCTGAGCCATTTGACGCAACGCTACACTGTTTGTATGTACGCTGTACTATTCTACATTACGCTGAGCTATTTCACACAACTCTACACCATCTGTGTGCACGCTGTACCATTCGACATTACGCTGTACTATTCGTCATTACGCTGAGCCATTTCACGCTACACTACATCGTTGGTACCTACGCTGTACCATTCGACATTACGCTGAACCATTTCACGCAACGCTACACCATATGTGTGTACGCTGTACCATTCTACATTATGCCGAGCCATTTCACGAAACGCTACCTTGTTTGTGCGTACGCTGTGCTACTCGACCTTACCCTGAGCCATTTGACGCAACGCAACACCGTTTGTGTACTGTATTGCAAATGAGTGCTAAGCTATTCGCAATTGAGCTAGTCCATTCCACAATTTCATTTTCCAACTCGACATGGGCAACTACACCGTTTATCATTTGGCTGAACTATCCATGTTTAGGGTGTTCTGTTTCACGAAGGAAAACTAAACCGTCTATAATTTGGCCATGCCATTCCTTCATAAGCTATGCTATGCTGCAGCCGATCCTTAAGCCCGGCGCACACTAGAGCTATCAGCTGAGCTGAGCGTCACTCGTGGCTGTTGGCGTAAGCTGTTTCCTCAAGTGTGCGGTGTTATGTTCTGCGATTTTTGTCACGCGTGCCATGAGCTCAGAATATTCAACATGTTGAATAATTTCGTGCACGAGTGAACATTGACTCACAGTGTGCGCGCGTTTTGAGCTATCAGCTCAGGAATCAATGCGAACGCGCATGCGTCCTTGCCATGTTTTATTGAAGTCAAGATGGCGGTAAACAACTCGATAGTTGCTGATGCAGTGCTGGAAGATAAATTAGCTGATTTATGGCCCGATTATCCTTGTCTTTACGACGTTTGGTATCCAGAATTTAAGAATCGGGAGTTACGAGTTACGAGTTACAAGCGTCTTCGTCTTCGTCGCAGCATTAAAAGGGAAAGCAAAACCTCTTCATCCTCCGACGAGCTTGAATCTAGATTTTCACCGACATCGGCCATCTTGACTTCAATAAAACATTCATCAGCAACCTTTAAAATGGCCTCTTCGTACTGCCATCGATTCTCTCATTGACCCGAAATGAATCAACTCCTGCTTGTTTAATCTCCTTATTATAGACTGAAAAAAAATCATATCATCCCTATTTTTTTCAGGAGGAGTTCTAGAAGAAAACGAAGTCTTCAATAACCGGTTTGACGGGATTTGTCTGGCCACTGGTGTCGAGCCCAAACTTAGAAGTAAGTATAATGTTTGACTTACCCCTACCCCACCCGTTTATCACTGTTACATCCTGTGGCACTAATGATTACTACTCTCTCCTCCCTCAGATAACAAAGTACGCGGTAACAGAAGAGAAGTTGAGCGAGCTAAAGAGTCTTGTCGCTGTTTGTATCAAGTGTCTGGTAACACATGCTATCCGACGCACGATTTTTACAGGTGAGCATACTCAAAGGTGTTAAGCATGTAACTTTTCCTAACACTATCAATACATTATTCAGAAAACAGCTGATAAGATAGACAGACGTTTAAGGCGTAAGGTGTCATCTTGACAAAAAAGCAAATGCTCGTTAAAGAGATCAACAATAAAATGCATACGCGAAAATTACTTCATGGGTTGGAGTTTATTTATTTATTGATTTATTTTATGTTCCCTTTTCTATCCCTTAGCGCCCTGCCGTTTATTTTATCTCTATCTCTTAGCGCCATGCCGTTTATTTTATGTTCCCTTTTCTATCTCTTAGCGCTCTGCCGTTTTTTTTGAAACACCAATTTACCAATCTTAGCTGAGTTCAGAATATGTTACTCACCCTCCCCATCGTTTTACCTCTCAATCTTTTTCTGCTGGATAGTGACTCAGTCATCAACTTAGTCCAGCGGTCTATCAGACAAGAAAGATTCCGTATTTAGTATAAATTTAGTCGATTACGCAGTTAGTAAACGGTCATAAACATTCCAAATCTATTTGAATTCACTGAGCTCTGTTACTTAGCCACCATAGTCTTGGGTGAACACAATCTCCAATGATATTGCACGGTCAGTTGCTGAGGTCTCATGTTAGAGATGCAGTGCTGTCGATTACATATTTTACCTTTGACTGGTTTCTTAATCAGTCATCACTGCTTCCTTGATATTGACGTATCTCTTAATGTATTTATACTGACACGTAGGTGCACCACTTGCGGTACGTCGGATGGCTACCAAATGTGATCACAGATATTCCAGTTACATTCGGACGTCTTCTGTGATCTATTACTGCACAGACCCATGACTACAGGGAATCTATTTGTTTTATATCATGGAAACGCAAAATGCTGTTAATGTTGACGTCATCTAGGCGTCTGACCTCCCATATATTATAAGAAAGAACCGATGGAAGTGCGTGTATCATTCGGCTCATCGTATAATTTTTAGTGATGAGAATCCAGCTACGAGGATTAAATCTCCAGTCTCGTACATTTTATATCGTGAACGAATTTTGAATTGAATTTATAACAACCAAATCAGCCACAGAATTCGTTTGGTGCACACTTCTCCTGGTTTTGTCGTTAATCTCTTTCCTCTCTCTCGTGTGATCTAACTCCTATCTAGGAAGGATTTTTTAAAATTGGTTTTCTGTCGATTATTTCGACGTTTCTGGCCCTGATGCGCGTCTTGAAGTGGATGATCAGAAATGTTTTCATCCGTATTTTTAGGTTTTTCTGCGTTTGTGGAGCAGGTTCTAGTGAATTCTGTGTAAACTTGTCAGCAGTAATTGCTGGTCATCAGCATCTCGGACGCCGGCAGCTGGAGTGGCCAGCGGTGGTAAAACAGAAACGTCTGCGCAAGAAGTTAGAGGGAATCAAACTCTTTGCGTTTCTTGACGATTGGACGATGTTGAAGAATCTTATAGTGACATAAAGATTTAAGAGTAAGCAAGTTTTAAACTATTCTCAACACGTACGTACAAGGAGATTATTGCTCTGCTTACCCTTCTCAGTATGATCTGTGAACTACAAATATGCAGCTTAGCTTTTTCAACTTTCCTATTTGATATAAACTATATATATATATACACAGCTTTTCATAAGTTAAAGAATTAAAGAGGACGCATTGATTCTCTGTGACCCAGAGTCACAGAGAATCGATGCGTCCTCTTTAATTCTTTGACTTATGTATACTTAGCTCTGCTACCACAGCATTGAGCACTTTATGCCAAGGTAGACTCTACCCCCACATTCATTTACATATATACATCTACATATAACTGGGAATGAAGCAGGAGGAGGATGAGGAGAAGTCTCCAGGCTATTTGTTTTATAATTTTTTTTCTTGACATCGAATCAGCTACTTGCTCACAAGACCTTGCTCCTCTCCCTCCCCTCCCTCTCCGACCTCATTAGTCACGCCTTGAATTTGCACGTTTTGTGAAAGATTCCATCAAGTGAGTTGAATCAAAATCGCTAAATCACAACAGTGAGGGGAAAACAGTTGTGTTTGAGAGCAGCTGAAGTCGCAGTCGCGTGATGCCCCTGTGCTATATACTATGACCCCACAGTGCAACCAGGTTTTAAGACATTTCTCTTAAGGGGAATCTTGTTCGAAAAAAATATACATTTTATTCATCTCGTTTCAAAGGATAAATGAAGCGACTATTTATGACTCTAACATGAGCAGTATTTATTTCTACATGCGCTTCATCCGATAGTCAACAGCTCACTTGAACTTCCAGAAAGCAAACTGGCAAGATTTTCGGGCATAGTCCCAGCTATAACGTAGGTGTATATAGTGATAGAATGATAAATTAAGAAATACTGAAGACAAAAATATGCTTTTAGAGAGAAAAGTATTTATTAATTTAAGAGATGAACTACATAGATAAAAAGGTAAATAAACTGTTCTACTGGAAATTGAAAGTCTCTTTGGTAGTTTTATGAAGTGAAGACTGTCGGGTGGACGCTTCTCAATGGGTCATACAGTGATATCAGTCATCTTTGTAATAATAATAATAATAATGGTTTATTTATATAGCGCTATTTCTATCGCTATCTAATAGCGCTTTACAATGACTGAATCAAACCTAGAATGCTTGAAAATCCCAATGGCAGGAGGCAGACCAGTTGGCTATTTACACAGCGCAGCGGAGGAGTTGAACTTGGGGCAAGAACAAATCCAGTGAATGGCAGGGTGGAGGACTTGAAGCCGAGACCACTAGGTTATAAGACCAGAATCCTAACCACTCGGCCACGCCGCCTCGAGTTACTTCAGCAATTGCCGCACTTTCTGGCCACTTTGGTTAACTGCTGCAGTAAATAATAGGATTTTGACCAATCAGAGCGTTCGTAGTATTTCAGTCATTTTATAAATTACAGTACTGAACACAATTTTTTTTCTTACAACTCATGGTTTTTTCGTGCAGACTCTTCAATACACATTGGCTTTTCGCAAACAAGCAAACAAAACATCAAGAAACACTGAAATGAATTGGGAAATGGTCTTCAGGCAATCGGTACTTTTTGAGTGCAAAGAACATTTTTATAAAGTGTGAAATGGTCCTTCTACGCACCATGTACTTAAGAGTTCAAGGAACACTTTTATAACTGTAAAAATGGCCTGTACGATGGTGTGCGAAATACTAGCGTAACAATAGAACTAGAGAGAATCCTGAGAGTCTGAGAGATACTGACGTAACCATTCGATAACCAGCGATTGAAAGAAATTCCTTAGAGTGCGAGACTGATACTGACGTAACAATCGATTGAAAGAGACTCCTATGAGTGCGAGGGATACTGACGAAACAATTGATTGAAAGAAATTCCGTAGAGTGCGTGAGAAACTGACGCAACGGCAATCGATTGAAAGAGACTCCTGCGAGTGCGAGGGATACTGACGTAACAATCGATTGAGAGAGACTCCTATGAGTGCGAGGGATACTGACGTAACAATCGATTGAGAGAGACTCCTATGAGTGCGAGGGATACTGACGTAACAATCGATTGAGAGAGACTCCTATGAGTGCGAGGGATACTGACGTAACAATCGATTGAGAGAGACTCCTATGAGTGCGAGGGATACTGACGTAACAATCGATTGAGAGAGACTCCTATGAGTGCGAGGGATACTGACGTAACAATCGATTGAGAGAGACTCCTGCGAGTGCGAGGGATACTGACGTAACAATCGATTGAAGAAATTCCGTAGAGTGCGTGAGAAACTGACGCAACGGCAATCGATTGAAAGAGACTCCTGCGAGTGCGAGGGATACTGACGTAACAATCGATTGAAGAAATTCCGTAGAGTGCGAGACTGATACTGACGTAACAATCGATTGAAAGAGACTCCTGCGAGTGCGAGGGATACTGACGTAACAATCGATTGAAAGAGACTCCTATGAGTGCGAGGGATACTGACGTAACAATCGATTGAAAGAGACTCCTGCGAGTGCGAGGGATACTGACGTAACAATCAATTGAAGAAATTCCGTAGAGTGCGAGACTGATACTGACGTAACAATCGATTGAAAGAGACTACTATGAGTGCGAGGGATACTGACGTAACAATCGATTGAAAGAAATTCCTTGGAGAGCGAGAGGTACTGATGAAACAATCGATTGAAAGAGATTTCTTAGAGTGCGTGGGATACTGACGTAACAATCGATTGAAAGAAATTCCTTGGAGAGCGAGAGGTACTGATGAAACAATCGATTGAAAGAGATTTCTTAAGAGTGCGTGGGATACTAACGTAACAATCGATTGAAAGAGATTCCTTAGAGAGCGAGAGATAGTGAAGTAACAATCGATCGAAAGACATATCTTAGAGTGGGTTTACGGTCAAGTCGCCCGAAAGTCATCTCGCCCGAAGTCATATCGCCCGAAACCAAAGTCATGTTGCTCGAAATTCATAGTCATGTCGCCCGAATTCCTAAGTCAGGTCGCCCGAAATTTTATCGAGTGTTTAAACTTGAAGAAAAGTAACATCTTGACTAAATCGCAAGGAATAAACTCGTAAAATGTTGACTCGTGAAACTCAGGTTGTTCGTTTCGCTGTCGTTTGATATCACGGAGATAGCAATCCTAAAATAGAACACGAAAATAAAAATAAAAAATAGTAATATCAGTTACAGTATGGTTCTAACTGTTGTTGTTTTATCTGTGGAAGCATTCTGTTTCGAACGAAGGTTCACATCACCACGATTGGAACATTGGAAAACGCCGCCATCTTGAATACAGCACGTGCTCAAGAATCATCACATGGTTGCCAAGCAAGATTGTGACGTT